CACAGTTTAGAAAATCGTTTAGCTTCGTTGGAAATATTAATACTGCAAAAAAAAAAAAATGGAATAGAAGGACAAGCAAGTAAAGCCCAATCTCGAATAAACGAAGAAGATAAAGCTAAATATTTTGAAAAGCTTAAATTACCAAAGAAACTTGCTTATAGAACTTATAGAAAATAAAAATGTTTAAACAGCTAGTAAAAGGAAGTAGCAGTAAAAAGCATAATGAGGATGAAGATGTTAAAGTAGAAGAATTTATAGATGTGAAGCAACACATAGAAAAATTTTAAAAAGAAAAACTAGAGTTAATTCCAGCTAAATATGTATATAAGCTAGGAAAAATTCATAAAAAAACAATATTTATTTAAACACTATAGTGAACAAATGATTAGTGTAACTCAAGAAGATGAAAAAATAGAGCTAAATTTAATAAATAGATAAAGTTATAAATATACTGCAAAATGAACACCTCAAAATGACTCACTTAGGATTAGTTGTGATAGGAGTTAAGGCTTTAACTAGAGAAAACTTAGGAGCTAAAGTTTTTGTATGTCTTTATGCTGATAGGTTTAATAATGTAGGACAAAGTATCTTAGGAAACTATGAATTAGATATGAATTCAAAAGGAGGAATAGTTTATTTTACACCAGATTTCCTTTCACCAAACTCTACCTTCCATAAAAAGATAAAAATATGAATAAAAAATAGAGGATATAAAATGAAGAAGGGGGAAAAGAATTTATTAGTTTGCACTGAGTTTTTAGGCTTAGCGGTTTCAAAAAGCAATACCCATTATAGACTTACAAATGATCAAATAGTTAAGATATTAGGCGGAAGACGAATAAAGGCACTACTAACTAAAAAATATAATTCTGAAAATAATGCAACACTAGATTGGAATTTAGAAGATTTTCTAGGACAAAAGAGGTTAGACCCTCAAGATAATTTATTATATCAAAAAGCCGATGGAAGTTATGCAGTAAGATTTACTCAATACACATATGTAGCACCAGAAAAATCAGAAGATGGTGAATTTAGTAGTATAGATAGGGAAGAAAATTAAGATAATCATAGTGACATAAATCAGCTTTATGTAATTACAGAAGAAAAAACAATATCACAAAATAAGATATATAATATTAATGAGATAGATTTGAAAATTTTCACCCTAAGTGATATGAATAAAATATTAGATACCAGATACTATGAATATATAGCTAGAGGACATACCCATAATGAAGCAGTATCATTTTTAGATCAAGAATTTCATACTCAATATGTAGATGATATTTTAGAAGACAAAATACATCCTAGTAAAATATTTAAAATACCAAAATAATTTAACTTAGAAGACACTTTTTGTATGAACACTCAAACAACGGAAAACACAGGAACTAACAACCCACAACATACAGTAGAAGATCCAGTAGAACCAATACATTATGAAGTAGGATGAAGAAGACCATTAACCAATACAGGACGTAGTAAAGAAGATCCAAATAAAAAGTATAGATTTCATGGAAAGCATACACAACCAGACATGAGTATACAATTACAGCCAGCAACCAACCAAGGAACCCTTTTAGACTTAGCTAAATTCGACCCACAGATATGGCAAGAAGCAATAGAGAAATGGGAAAAAGACGCGGTAAAGGCATGGATGAATAATCCCTTTGAATCAACTGATATGTGGGAATATATGGAAACACTTTTAGGAGATTCAACTTTTAATATATATTTAACTTTTAAAGGAAAATATGAGGAGACAATTAGACAGCTTAAAGGACTAGGAAACAACCCATGGAATTTTACGAGTTTTATAAAAGAAATGCTTATAGGATACGACCATTTTAGAAGAAATGATTATACTCAAAGCATAGCATTAACCGAGTTAGATCAGATAACATTAGGAAGTTGGAAATATATTATACCCTTTAGCAAAGAATATTTAGCAATAGTAGCTAGAACTGGAAAAAGTTTTGATGAAGAAATAATGAATAAATATTTTAGGAAATTACCCAGAGAACTAGGAAGAGAGATAGAAAATGAATGGGCAATATATTATGCTAACTTACCGACAAGAATAGCATCAAGAGAAGTAAACATAAGAGGAGCTTTAGGAATAGGACCTAGAATAGTTTTTACATTCCACGGGCTTAGAGAAAAATGTATAGAAGTCAAAATACAGAAAGATTTGAAAAAACAAAACTATGGTTTATGTAGCAGAATAATATACACTCCTCAACAATATGAAGGTAAATATAATAGGAAAAAATACAAAAAATATGGAAAATATAAAAAGGAAAAGTATTGAAAGAAAAAAATATAGGAAATCGTGAAAAAAATAAAAATTCATCAGAAAAAGTAGAACTTCTAATAGAATAAATTATAAACGACTACCTAAGGAAGAAAAAGATAAAAGAAAACAAAGATATGTTAGGAAACCTAGTAGCAAAAAATGCAATTGCTTTATATGTGGAGAACCCAATCATTTTGCAAAAAACTGTCCAAAAAGACAGAGGCCTAATACTAATAAACAGATAGAAAGACTACATATTATAGAAGATTTAGAAGCAGATATAGTTAGTATAAACAGTGATGACTCAGAAGTCTATAGCATAGTCAGTGATTACGGATACCAAATGGAAGCCATAAGTTCAGATAGTGATTCAGAAAGTGATACAGACATAAACAATTTGTTAGGACAACTTAACTAAGAAATATGAATACCCCATTCCTATGATAATTTCTTTATGATGAAATGCAATGGAGATACTGAATGTCAGTATAATTTCAAGATAGGACTAGGATTTGATACCACTAGATGCAGTTATTGTAATTGGTTTCCTTCTAATGTAAGAGAGCTCAATGCTTGTTATGCAGTGTAATTTATTGTACAGTTTGTTTAGAAAAATTAAATATGACACACAAGATAACATTAGAAAATAAGGACGAGACGAGAGAAGATCATAGTATAGAAAGCAAGGAATTACACTTAACTATTAGAGAATTAGGGATACAAGTAAGAGAACTTAAACTACAAATACGCGAAACAGAAACTAAGGCTAATTTTGACATAAAATGTTTAGAAGTAGAAAATAGACAGCTTAAACAGCAGATAGAACAATTTCATACTAAATACCCCTTAAAAGATAAACTTGTTGAAGAACATATGAACTCTTTACAATTAGTCAATCTAGTTGATTCTCAACCCTTTAGTCAACATTCCCAAGCACAATCCAACAACACATATTTACCATTTAATTACCCTGTCATACCTAAGCCAAATTTAGTTGAGATCTCTTGTGTAATTAAATTTGCAGAAAAAACTCTTAGCATAGATGCCATGATAGATACATGAGCCAATAAATCATATATTGAACAACACATAGTTCCACCAGGATGGAGTACAGCTTTAACAATCCTAGTTTTAGTCAGTATAGCCGATGGCACTAAACAGACATATACACATTGCATCAATGGAGCACAAATTAGTTTTCATTACATAGGTTCTCAGACTCAATAAATAGAGTGGTTCTCTTTACCCCAAGTATGGATTGGGAATACTCGACAAAACCATCCATTTATATGAGGCCTTAATTTCATACTTATTCTACAAGGTGGCATGTTTATCAGCCATAGCAGCATTAATTTCTTCAAACGAACAGTACGTACACCCACAACATATGCCCTTAGCACCATTACCCATTACTTAGAGTTATCTTTTTTTCTTAACATGTTTATTGATACACTGATTAATATTTCTAACGTTATTGACGTAGAGTTGTTATGCTAGAAGAAAAACTGGTACAATTAATGGTCATTCTTACATGTGGAAACACCACACACACCAACAATAAAAAGGAAAAGAAAAAAGAGACCCCCATTTGAGTAGTGGTTCAATTAATGATCCTTCTCACATGTGGAAACACCACATACACTAACAATAAAGAGTAAAAGAAAGAAGAGATCAGTATTTGAGTAGTGTCATTTATACATAATTTATATTCATGTGCTAATTTTTACTCGTTATTTTAAAGATAAATAGAAGCCTATCAATTTAAGACAAGAAAAGTGTTATCACGTCATTTTAACATAAATTTTGTATTAAATTTGTCTGAATAATTTTGCTCATAATATTTAAAAAATCTAGAAATTTCCTAGATATTGATTTGTAATTATGTATCAATTTTAACCAGTAAATAATAATTCCAATCAAACAATCAAAACAAATCAACACAATGATTTTAACGTGGAAAAACCACAATTGAAGCGCCTTCAATTGTGATAAAAAAAAAAATTACGGGCAAAAGCCACAGAACAATCCGCTAAGAAGACATAAAGGAATTACACAAATGTACTCTCAATTATCTAGCGAATTCACGCCCGAATCAAACCGACCCCTATGTGCCTCTTCCAGCCCTCGTCTTCATCTTGGAATTATCTTACCCAACGTTGAATCTACAACACCGATGTCGAATTCACGACGATGAGCCACTCCAGAATCCACCAAAGCTTCAAGCCAAATTTCACGAAATTCACTAAAGAACAACTCTCTCTTTTGTATTGAATAAATAAAACAAACAAACCCTTAGATATGATCCACTCAATTCATGATTAATCTCTCATGGATATCAAAGGAAAACAAGTAAAGAAACTCTAGATAAAAACCCTAATACCCAAGAACAAGATGTGGAAGCCGTACCCTAAAATCAGACTGAAACACATATTTATAGAAAACAGATCAGCGATCTCCACTCAAGCGCAAGAATGGCCGCTCGAGCGGACTTATGCTAGGGCGCAGGAAGTTTCGTTCGAGTGCAAAAACACAACTTCCAGTACTTTTGCAGACAGTTCAAACTTTTGGAACTAAAGATTCTCTACTTGAGCGCACAAATGGCCGCTCAAGCGAACAAACAACTTGGACATAGTTAGCGAAGTGGCAAATATAAAAGAATTAAGATCATAAACTTCTCTGTAAGACACAGTTCAGGTTGGATTTGTATTTAAAAAACTTATAGCCTCACTCAAATAAAAGATTGAATACAATTACAATTGAAATGAGTTTTGTCAAACGGGATTGTCAAGAATAAAAACCTAACAATATTTAAAAGGTTGTAGGTTCGAATCTCACAAAAACCAAACATTCTAAACTTTGGGATTTTAAGATCTGAGGATTAGTTATTATTGAAATAAAAAAAACATATAAAACATTTTAAAAAGTTGACAGTTTGATAAGCACAAGACGCATATCGGTAGATACAATCAAAATTAAAATGCTTCCAATGAAGACTTTGCAAACTTGAGCACTTGTTCAAGGTGGTGGGCCGTATCAGGATGGTGGGCCTCCATCCTTGGCCTATCCGGCAAAACCCACCGGCCATCGCTACTCCTCACCATCCCCTTGTTCTCGTCCTGCCGCCAATATGGTGGCACCCCATACTCACGTTTCAAGAAATTACAACTCTTGTTAACAAGTGCCACATCCCTCTTTGTCGCCAACCGAAACTTCCGGCCATTGCCGTGGTACCCATCGACGAGGTGTAAATGGGCCTCAAGGTTATGTGCACAGCCCAAATCATTAGTGGGCATTAAAAATGGTGAATGGGTATGGTCCAATGCGAGTTCCACCCCAACATGAGCATAACTCCAAGGAAACGACATCGTTTCCTCCACATACTTCTGGTACTGAAATTTTTCATTAGCAAAAATTCCAGGAATTGTTGGAACCTTGTCATGCACATTGACCACCCTCAGGACCTTAACTCCGAGCTCATCGCATCGCTCTTTGAACTTCAAATTACCGACCCGAGGCCCTGAAAATGAAAAAACAGTTATCGGAATCTTAGTTATGGAATCACCGTTGCTGATAGCGTTTAATTTCATCTCAGAAATGTCGTAAGCGCTTAAAATGGCTAAAGCTGCACCGAGACTATGACCCGTGACTGTGATGCTGAGTTCTTCACCTCTGTAGGTCTCTGTGAGTCGTTTGATTTCTGCTAAAACTTGTTCGCGAGCCGAGAAAACGCAGTACTTACATGAATTCTCTTTCTGGGTATAGAGATCGTAGAACCCGGATTCGATTTTGATCGAAGGGTCGTCGTGAAAATGAGCTGGGCGTAAAAAATCTTTCAAGTCCTGGATCCATTCGAGGACGGTGACAGTGCCACGCCACGCCACCACGATGTCGCGGCGGCCGAGGCGGCGGACCTCGGCATCGTCAGTGGCGACAGCGATGTAACCCATCCAATTGGCGTGCTGACTCCAAACGCTGCTCATCTTCGATTTCTGGAAGAAATTCGGAAGATTGATGTTTGAGGTTGCGTATAAGTATCGGCTCATGTGGTAACCTCGATTAGCCATGTCGAGCTTTTCAAAGAAATGGGGTCCGAGGTATTTGCAAGTTCCGCAGTACTTGGAGTGAGGATCGAAGTCGAAGGAGTCGTAACAGGCTTGAGCGAACTCGCCGTATCGGATGATTTCACGGCGGAGATGAGAGTTCATGGGGTTTAAAAGGCCATCCCAGTTGTAAAGTCCATGGATTTCCCTCCAAATTTGATGAAGTGGCCTTGGATCTTCTTCCATGGATTCTTGGCTTTCTTCTGTGTTTTTTGGAGTTAAACTGGAGGTAGATGATGAAGAGATTTTTGTGGGTCTTGAAGTGAGTTTTTGTGATGTGGGTTTGTATGAGAAATTGAGATTTTTAGGTCTGTTGAGGCTTGTTCTTGGAGAGAGCCCTCCTTGAGTTGGAAATTGTAGTGTGTAGTTTGGATTGTTGAAATAGAGTTGCAAAGAAGCCATGAAAAGGGTTTCTGGTTTGTGTTGTGCTGTGTTGCGTCGCTTATTTTTGTGAAGGGGCTTCACTCATTACCGGGGAGAGGGGGAGAGACGAGAGTAATTATAGACATCATGGAAAAATATATTAGGAAAGTGATTATGAAAGATTTTTTATCGTTAGATTACATATATATAATAAAATTTCACATATTAATTTAAGAATAAAAAAATTTTATAAAATATTTTATAATATTTTTTTATAAACCCTAAAATTATTCAAAAATCATCGAATTCTTTGTGACTATTTTTATTATTACCGGAGAATCTTTAAATTCCTTTTTCTATAGTTTTTTTTTTTTTTTTTGGTGGAGTTCTAAGTTTTTTGTTAAAGTTACGAGTAAAAAACCAACGAATTCTTTGTGACTATTTTTATTATTTTAATTTATAACACTGAAGTAATAAATTTAAGAGCCAATTATACCAAAGGTTTTTATAATTTAAAATTTATGTCATTTTGATTTTTAATTTTTTCAATAGTAATACATTTGATCTTAAATTTTAAATTTTATTTCAAATAAGAATAATTGAATATATCATTACTCAATTTTAAGGATAAAATCATCAATTTAATAAAATATAAATTAATTTGACAAAAATAAATGTCAAAAAAATATTTTTAAATTTAAAAAAATTATTTCTATCCACCAAAGATAAAATTATGTAAAATTGATAAATATTTTACATGTTTATTTATTTATTTTTACCTAATTAATTTTTATTATGTATTTGGATGATGATGATCATATAATAGATGATTGCTTTTATTTTAATTAAATTAATTTTTATTTTTTCAAAAGTCAATTATGACGACAACTTTGGTATCATTATTAAATCAATCCATTAAATTAAAAAATTCAAAACTAAAAATATTTTATATATTAAATATATCGATTACACATTAAAAACGTAACAATCAACCGTTATATGACCATTATCGAAACACATCATAAAATTAATTTGGTAAAATAAATAAATAAATGTGTAAAAGATTTATTAATTTTAATAATTTTATCTTTGATGGGTAAAACTAATTTTTAAAAATTTAAAAATATTTTTTTGGCATTTAGTTTTGTTAAATTAGTTTATATTTTAACAAATTGACAACTTGTCCATGAAATTGAGCAACGGTATCTTCAGTTGTTCTTATTTGGAACAAGATTAAAAATTCAGGGTTAAATGTGTCACAATTATAACGTTAGGGACCAAAGTAATACAAGTCCCAAACTATAAAGACTGTTAGTGTAATTTGCTATTTTTTTTGGCTTGTGTAAGATCTAAATATTGTATTTTGTTTCCCCAATTAACCTATTCAGATTTTTTTGATTCTATATTTACTTTTCTTATTTGCATTGGAGAATAATTATTTTTTTTTTGTGAGGTTTTTAGCTGATTACATCTTCTTGGGCAATACATTTTTAATTATATCCTATGTATTTTTCTACTAGTTATCACCAATAAAATGTTTTGTGTTGTCAGTTCTGAAAAATAAAATGGAAGCATTACCTTCACTTGATTTTTTTTAAATTTTGTTTTTGCTGCAATATCTCACTTGACACCAAAATTCATTGAAGGTGCTGCAATATCCCATTTGAAGATTCTTTTTTTTTTTTTTTTTAATATTGTTTTTCCTATTTCATGAGAACTGAGTCTCTATCATTTCTACTGATATTGTGTGGTATTAAGAGATGCACTAAGCTATTCGTGTTGAGAGATCTTGGCAAAATATTTATTTATTTTTTTAATCAAGATTGAAAGATGTTAGTTTGGTGAAATACTGACTATTAATGAGTTCATTTTTTCGTAATTTTTGGCTGAATTGCTTCTGTTTTAACAGTATTGTGATCCCTCAAAGGATGATATGATATTTTGTAATATTAATATAATTTTATGTTATAATTAATTGAATCCCAATAAATTATAATAAAAAATCATTTGAGACATACCAAGATTTTATGCGACATAATTAAAATAAATCACAAATAATGTTATAACGAGTGATAACTGATAAATCACAAAAAGTTGTAAATGGAATTTTTTGTTTGAAAGTGTGTTATATATTTTTTAGGTTAAATTACAAATATAGTTTTTGAGATTTGTTTAAAATATAGTTTAAAAAATTATAAATATCCACTTGTTAAAATTTTTTATTTAACGGAATTAATTAAAAAAAGAAATTCATAATTTCTCTTCCATACAATAATAAAATTACCTAAATTATTAATTGAAACATTTATAACATCATTAAAAATTATCAATTAACTTGATAATTTATTAATAAAAGAGACGATTTATTATGAAATTAGAAATATCAAGAGATATAATATAATTTCTAAAATTATAACAAATAATTTGTATTTTAATCAAATTTTAAGAAATATATTTATAATTTATCTTATTTTTTTAATATTTGTTAGGAAGAACTTGTAAATGGGGATAAGACTTCCCTGTTTTCAAAAAGAAAATATCTCCATCCTTGTCCCAGCTTTTGTTTCAGCTACTATAAGAGAAATGTTGGAGAGCTCAAGGAAGGGAGCAGTAATAGTTTTAATTTATGTATGGTTTTTTGATGTGATATTTTAATTTTTTTAAAATTTTTTTATATCACTAAAAATTCAATTAAAATTTTAATTTTGGAGGGCTGAATTACTGCTGGCTACTATAAATGCTTGTGAATTCTTTTGATTCAAGTAACTTTTGGTTTAGCTTTATGTGCAAATCCAATCAAACTCTCATTCGTCTTAAATGTATCATTGCTTTACATCTAATCATAGTTATAGGACATGGTTATATGGAGGTATGATGGATGTGTTTGGTTTATCTTTTGTGATAAATTTTTTCTAAAAAAAAGTTTGAAGAGAAAGTTTGAAGTAACGTTTGATAAAATTTTAGAATTATAATTTAAAATAAAATTATATTTTGAATTTGTGGATTTTTAAATTTATGATTTAAGAAAAGAAAATTTATTTAGTTATGAGTTTTAAAAAGAATTTTGAATTTTTTATGTGACATATGAAATAAGAAAATTTGTTTGGTTATGAATTTTGAAATTTTTTTTCAAAACTTAATTGAAAAATTTATAACTCATAACTAAACGCACAACTTAAAATTCTATTGAAAATTCTATTCAAAACTCGTAACCAAACTATTTTGAAAATTCAATTAAAAAAACTAATTTATCATTTTTATCTAAAAAATAATTTCTATATTTAAAAAATATCAAAAATAAATATAATTTTCTTTTTTTTTCTAAATAACAAGTAGCGATTGACAATTCAAAAAAACAAAATGTACTATTCCTGTCAACTGACTAGACTTTCGGGAGCACGTCCGGGAAGAATGACCGGATAGACTCAAAATTTAAAAAATTCTCTACTCTCCAAACACGATTTGAAATGAATTTTGGAATGTGACATTGGAATCAATTTTTAAAAACTTAAACCAAATGAAATATTGAAATATGTATTGGAATCATATATTTAGAGCTCCTCCAAACACAATCTAATTTTTTTTTTTTTTTGATTTGTTTGGTTGTATATTTTGAAAATAGTTTGAGTTTGGAAATTTTGGATGATTTGATATTTTATTGTAATTGAGTAGATATGTGAGAGAGAAAATATAATTGATTGATGTGTAGGAGAGAAAAAGTAATTTAAATTTTTTTTTTTCAAAAAATTTTAACCAAAAAAAATACATACTATCAGTAAATTTTACTCCAATTAATGACTTGTATTTTTACTAATAGTCGAGTATTGACTTTTTCAAATGTCAAAATATTTTCTCCTTGCATATATACATTGTGGTGTTTTGAAAAGTTAGTAAAAAAATTATTTTTTTAATTTTTTTATGACTTTTTAATCTTTTATATGAAAATGTAGAGAATTGATACGATCTAAAAAAAATTAAAAAATTAACTTTTTATTATATTGCCCAAACATCCCTTTGTAAAAGTCATAGCAACTTCTAGTTCATCAAATATCATGCCTTCACATGGTTCTAAAAGATTGCTATATAAACATGACTTGACAAGTTGACATATTTTTTTTTTCTAAGAAATTGATATTCTACAAATCACTTCCTAATTCTGGCTTAACAAACTATTCATCTACTAATCGGTTATTAAACAATATTGTATCAACTCCTCCACTCGAATTATTTGTCATATCAAATCTACAATACAAAATTACAATAAAAAAGAAATAAAAGAATAAATACGAATAAAAGAGACATTATTGCCTTGTGAAAGATTTGAACTCAATGTTGAATGCTGTCATACTCTTAGAATTTGAGGTAATTAAACATAGAATATATAGTTAATTCAAATATAGAAGAATTTTGAGTAAATTATATTAACAGTTTCTACAGTTTGGGACTTGTGTCACTTTGATCTATTTTTTTAATTGTGACATATTTGATCATGAATTTTAAATTTTGTTCCAAATAAGGACAATTGAAGATATCATTTTTCAATTTCAAAAGCAAAGTCGTCAATTTGATAAAATATAAATTAATTTGACAAAAATAAATATCATTTTTTTTTATTTAAAAAAAATTATTTCTACCCACCAAAGATACAATTATGTAAAATTGATAAATCTATTACACATTTTTTTTACCAAATTAATTTTTAATATATGTTTGGATGATAATCATATAATGGATGGTTGTTTTTATTTCTATTAAATTAGTTTTTATTTTTTCAAAACTCAGATATATCATTATTAAACCAATCCATTAAATTAAAAAATTCAAAACTAAAAATATTTCATATATTAAATATATCGATTACACATTAAAATCCTAACAACCATACATTACACGATCATCATCCAAACACATAATAAAAATTAATTTGGTAAAAAAATGTGTAAAAAATTTATCAATTTTACATAATTTTATCTTTAGTGAGTAGAAATAATTTTTTAAAAATTCAAAAACATTTTTTTGACATTTATTTTTGTTAAATTGGTTAATATTTTATCAAATTGACGACTTTGCCATTGAAATTGAGTAATGATATCTTCAATTATCCTTATTTAGAATAAAATTCAAAATTCAAAATG